CCAAATGGATTCTAGGTTGGTGGCAGCAGCCTCAGCCCAGGGCTGGCCTCCATTTTCCCCTCCACTGCTGGCAGGTGCCCTCTGGGAACAGGCTCTAGTGGTGGGCTGGCCAAGCCATGCCTTCTGCTGATAGCTGCTCCAGGAGTAGTGATGGACATGACCTGGCCTTTTTTTTTTTTTTTTTTGTAGAGACAAGGTTTTGCCATGTTGCTCCAACTCCTGAGCTCAAAGCAGTCCACCCGCCTCGGCCCACTGTGCCTGGCCAAATTTTATGTTAAGTATGTTTTCTCACAATATTTTCTAAGTCCATGCTTGGAGCCTTTTGTGACCATGTAGCAGTGCAGAAGGCACACTGGCAGCCCAGGACAGCCCTGATTAGCCCTCAGCTACTTTGCAATTGAATCCCAGGTTCTGAGCTTCCTGTGAATAAAATCTGAATTCAAGCTGGTGCTCCAGAGCCTCACAGCAACTGGAACTTTCCCAACATCTACCTGGTGAAGCATGAATTATCTTATTTTAAAATTTCTGTTCTTTATTTCTCATTTATATTGAAGTAATATCATTTAGATAATGTGTTGGTAATATGATCTGTGAATTTCATTAGAGGATTTAAAGAGGGTAGAATGAGACCAGGTGCGGTGGCTCATGTCCATAATCGCAGCATTTTGGGTGGCTACGGTGGGTGGATCACTTGAGGTCAGGAGTTTGAGAACAGCCTGGCCAATATGGTGAACCCCATCTCTACTAAAATTACAAAAATTAGCCAGGCATGGTGGCGCACACGTGTAGTCCCACCTACTCGGGAGGCTAAGGCAGGAGAATCGCTTGAACCCGGGAGAGGGAGGGTGCAGTGTGCTGAGATTGCACCACCACAGTCCAATCTGAGTGACAGAGACTGTCTAAATAAATAAAGAGGGTAGAATGAAGATATTGGGGTAGTTAAGGTTGGGAATCATTGTTTTAACTCTTCCTCTACTGTTTGCTGTTTTGGTTGTTCCAAAACTTTATAACTGCATTATAACTGATACCCAGAGTCTGTCACTGCAGCCATCAACACAGCCCTGAGCTCTCAGTAGCTTATGACACCAAGGATTAATTTCTTGGTTCTACACATGTCCACTGTGTGTTGGCAGAGGGAGAAGCAGCCTTTGTGGAGGATGCCCAATGGATGTGCAGTCCAACCAGATGTGGCGGGCTTTGCTCTGCAGTCTGCTCCTGTTTGTGTCTTTGGAGCTACAGAAATCAGCTTCTCTTTGAGCTTGCCCAAAAGGGGCCATTCCCACAAAGAACAGGGAACAAAGAGGAACTGCTGATTTTGGAGGGGAGAAAAGGAAGGGAGTTTCCATCACACAGTCCCATATTCTCCCCAAAGACAGGTCTCGACTGCCATGGAGGGTCCTACTCCCCCTCCCTCCCTCCAGCACCGGCCTTGCTGGGTCCCACCTCCTCTCTTTTCTACCTCCCTTAGGATTCTCCTTCCCTTTATTACCTAGAGCAAGTCTGTGGCCAGCCTTTGATTCTGAATGTCCCACCGTCCCAGCTTCACCACATCAGAACGTTCTAGGTAAATGCAAAGCTCTCCGTGGAAAGACTTCTGGTGAATTCCACTTCCTCCTCACCCTATCCCAGTTGGATGAAGTCAGATCAGCAGAGCACTACAGCCCTGGATCCAGCGTGCTGCCCCCCATGCACACACTCCCTGCCCTGGTGAGCTGCTGGTAGTGGCGGGGGTTTAATGTGCGTTCAGTCACACTGGGGAAGGTCATAAGAAACAGCTGTGTGCAACTTGCCACCCTAGGTTGAAGTCCCATAAGACAGCAGTCATATTATAAAACTTTTTCTTTTTTCTTTTTTTTTTTTTTTTTGAGACAGAGTCTCGCTCTGTTGCCCAGGTTGGAGTGCAGTGGCGCAATCTCAGCTCACTGCAAGCTCCACCTCTTGGGTTCACGCCATTCTCCTGCCTCAGCCTCCCAAGCAGCTGGGATTACAGGTGCCCACCACACACCCGGCTAATTTTTTGTATTTTTAGTAGAGACGGAGTTTCACCATGTTAGCCAGGATGTTCTCGATCTCCTGACCTCATGATCTGCCTGCCGCGGCCTCTCAAAGTGTTGGGATTACAGGTGTGAGCCACCGTGCCCTGCCTATAAAATATTTTTAAGGAGGATTCATGAGATGGATTACTATCTCTACGAGGAGCAGTTATCCTCCAGAACACTAATTTGTTTCTGGCATCTGGACACCATGAATTAGGTCACCAGTCAGGTGTCCTTGCACTCCTGGCAGCCAGAAAGCTCTGAGCTGAATTGTGGCCCAGCTTTAGAAGGGTATGCAGTTTTGCAGCCTGCAGTCTGGATACGGACCACACTCTGGGTTTGACTCACCACCACTTTGCTCTCAGCCCCCATTCGCTCATGCATATTTTTATTTATTATACTTCTAAACCACCTTAAATGCTTCTGTTAACATGGCGAGACATAAAGGTACTCAAAGGCCACAAAAGTTTATAAAAGCTTATCTCCCACCGAATAGCCTGGCGGTGAGTCGCCTTGGGGAAGATGAGCCTCCATGATGTTGGGCTCGGCTTCTTCCATCGTGGGCAGCTGCCCACTGCCCCCCCCCCGCCCCTGGGCCCAGGCACTCCCCACATTCGCAGGGTTGGGCAATGCCCATCGCCGAATCACTGGGTCTGCTTCCAGCCAGCCCGGGGAGGGAAAGGAGGGCAATAGCATGACCCCCCTTACGGGGTGCATGTCAGAAACTGCACAGATCATTTGCACCTGGATCCTGTTGACAAGAACTTGGTTCCTTGACCAACACCTAGTGCCAAGAATGCAGGAAAATCCAGCCTTTCTTCTGGGCAGCTGTGTGCCCAGGTAAAATGCAGAGGTTATGACTTAAGAAAGAAGGGGACAAAGGCAGGAAATTGGGGGATAATGAAATCTTATGTCCTTACCTTACACTTTCAGGAGAATTATAGAAAGGGGAAGAAAGCTAGAAAGGGGAAGAAAGAATTATGGGAAGGGGAAGAAAGCTGGAAAGCTGGGTCCAGTCTTGCCCATTTGCACCAGAGGTCTCTAGCATGACTGCAGTGGGCACCCTGGCTAAAACTGTGTCTGAAGCGTGGGGAGAGGTGCTTCCTGGCTCTGTTTGAGTTGGATGGGCCTGTGCTCGAGGCTTTGCCTGCTCTTCTGTCCCGAAGGATATTTACAGGGAAGCCAGGGCTGACCCTATGGAGACACCAGGCAGGCTTCCACCTCTTGTTGGGAGGAGTGTGAGAGACCTGACTGGGATGAGAGACAGCTGCATGTGCTTGGACGCTGCCGTGGATACCCCAGCCCTGGGACTGTTTGAGGCAGAACAAAGGGAACCCAGGAAGGGGTTGACATGGACTCATCTGTTCTGGTGTAAGCGGTGCATGCTAGGGCAAGTCCCACCGCTAGAGACAGGGCAACAGCTTCTCTCCGTAGCAGCTGCCATCTCCAGCACCAAGCATCGTGGTAGAAGACCAATTCTGAGCTAGCAACAGAGCCCAGAAGGCTTTAAGTGGAAGTGAAGGCACATTCTTCCCTGCCTGTAGACAGCAAGATGTGAGGCTGGACGTGCCAGAAGCACTCTGGGGTCTGAGCCGGCCCTGCCGCAGGAGGCAGGTGGGAAGAGGGAAGGGGACACTCCCAGTGGGTCTGGCTTGGTCCTGGGCTTCAGGCTCTGAGGAACTGCATGGAGTGGGAGTTGGTGGGTTTCTCCTGGACTTCTAGGAAGGCCTTGTGAGCAGCTCAACCTGACCCCAGCAAGGCCTGCTTCACAGTGGGTGGGGTGGCCATGGGAGAGTAGAGCCTCTCCCATGGTGGGTGTGGGTGCCCAGGAGCACAGCCACCTCTGCCAGGCCACCCCCAGCCAAGGCCTATTCTGGGAGACTCGGCACCTGGGAGGGGTGGGTTACTCTGCAGGCAGAGGGGGCTTCAACGTCCTCCTAATTTGGGAAGTAAGGGGAACACAATTTCACAGTAGCTATGTAACCTTGGGCTGTTAAATGTCTCTTTGCCTCCATTTCCTCATTTATAAATGATGATAAAAATACCTCCTGCCTCCCTGGGATCATGAGCAGCAAGAGAAACATGCATGGAGGATTTGGAGCCCTGCCTGGCATCAAGCTGGTGCTCAAGGGACAGAAGTGTAGCCAGTATGGAGCTCGGCACTGCCTGTTACTATCGCTGCCAGCAGCCTTCGAACGGCGGGGTCTGGACGGGCCTTTAGGGAAGCACACACTTCCTAGAAGAGCAGGAATCGTAAAGGAAAGCAGGGCGGGGAATCCCTGAGGAGACGGGGAACTCACAGGCCTCTGAAGGGCAGCATGCTGCATGGAGAGGCCTGAAGTTGTTCCCAGACATGCAGAGGCTGGGCCTAGAGCTCTCAGCGTGGCCTGGGCCCGTGGGGAGGGACAGAGGGGCCTGCAGTGGGCCTGTGGGACCCAGAGGGACAGAGCCAGGTGGGTGGGGAGATGACATGCCAAGAAGAGAGCTCCATGTGGGGAAACTGAGGTGATAGCAGGTAGGTCAGGTTGCAGTGTTTGGTGCCTACAGGATGAGGGTGCAGAGAGGAGGGCCGCAAGCTCCCACAGGGAGAGGGCATGGGAAAGAGCTCTAGGGCAGGTCCCTGGGCCAAGGAGAAGCCATAAAGGTACACAGGAGACACCGTGTTGGATGGAAGACGAGCTCTGCCTGGCATTCCCAGCTGGGCCCGGCACTCTACTGCAGGCCCTTGGGCTGGCTACCAGCTGAGAGCAGGCCACGCTGACAGAGCAGGGGCAAGGGCCCGGCCCCCATCTGCTGAGGGAGTTTGAGCTGCCTCCCAGTCCAGGGCTCACCCAGCTCAATCCCCATCTTCTCACCAGTTTCCTAGGGGTTACCCTCAAACCTCCTGCACCCTGACTCTGTCACAGCTTCTGCTCTTTGGGGCTGAGATGGCCCACACCCATTTCCTCCTGTCTCTCTCCCCAGGTGTCTGGCTCTCCCAGGCCAAGCAGCACCGTCATGCCCAGGTGACCGCAAATTCCAGGCCCACCCAGGAATACCCACGGGTGAAGCAGAGAGACGCGGAGGTGTGGATGGTCTCTCTTCAGAAGCTTTATTCTCCCTGGGAGGGGCACACCTCACCCAACCAAGGGCTGCTGCTGACTGGACAGAGGGCGTCCGAGATGCAGACATGGGGTGCAGGCAGGAGGGCTTCCACTAGCCCCCCAGGTGGGAGGTGCTGTGCACCCAGGCTCAAGAGGGAGGGGGCCCCAGCCGCCAGGGAGGGGCAGGGACTTTCTTCTCACAAAGACCTTTCTTCAGTATTCGAAGGTCACTGTCTTGACCCGCAGGTACTCGTTCAGAGCCGCCTCTCCTGTAAGACACCACAAAGGTCACAGCAGCTGCCGCCACAGGCAGGAACCACTGCTGGGGGCTGCAAGTGTCTTATTCCTCAGCAACCGCATGAGGGCAGCTCTGGCTCACCCCACTTCCAGATGTGAAGTTGAGGCCCAGCGAGGTCATGAATCTTACCCAGGTTATCCCTGACAGTGGATAGTGGGCCAGGACTCCCAGAATACAAAGCCAATCTGAGGCAGCCATTTAAGAATCTTCTCTTGCTCCCACCGCCTTGTCTGGACAGCGGGAAGCCCCTTCAGGCGGAAGGGGGTGGAGGACTTGGTGTTACTGCCTGGACTCACTGGCCCATCTCTTCTCCCATGGCTGCCCCCAGCTATGTCTCCATCAAGCTGTGGCTGGGTAAAGGAGATGCCTCGCAGGGCCCTGAGGCCCCAGACCTCGGCAGTGCTATGTGGCTGGTGCGTCTCAGCCCCATGACAAGTGTGAAGCCTGGGGCTGTCTGACAGCTCCCCAGCAGCTCTGGCTGGCCCCAGGAGTGGCACTGCCCCAAATGCCACTGCCCTGTCCCTCTGACGTCCTGGGCCTGCCCAGGCGGGCTCTTGGAAGGCTTGGCTTGTGGGCCTGTCCCAGGAGAGTGCTGGTCCTCTCAGCAGGACACGGGGACCAGGGTTGAGAGGGAGCTGGGGGAACTCGGGGAGGATTCATAAGGGGCTCAGATCACATCCTGGGGACTTGGCAGCCATAGCCTTCCCTGGGTGGGCTTGGGCCTCATGGATTCCCATGGTGGACACCAGGAAGGTGGCCTGGGAGAAGGCAGGAAGAGGAGGCAGTCAGGGACACAGGAAGCAGGAGTGTCCAGCCTATACGTGCATGTGAGTCCAGCTCTGTGGGCACACATGGGCCCCTCTCACAGGCACCCCTGGGGGCTTCTGCAGGGCTTGAAAGATGGGGGCAGGGGGAGGACAGAAAACTGGAAACAGTGACCACCCTTTGACCCCCAGCCTCAGCATGTCCTTCCCTGTGGTCTCTGGGCTGGAACAGGAGCCTGGAGAGACAGGTGGGAACTCTTGAGACAGCATACGGCTCCCCCGGACCTTGCCAGCCACCCCTGCCAAGCTTGCCCATAAGACCTGTCTAGTCCCCACTGCTGAGAGAGCAGGGTGAGGCCCAAGGCTTGGAGCAGCCCAGGGAGAGAGGGCTGGAGTAGAACTCCATGCCACCCAGCGGATGGAGCACTGGGCCTGCGCTGTGTGCTGGGGGACCCCGCCTGCTGCTGCCTCAACGACTTCATCTCTACTGGGAGACTCGTAACACCCATGGTGTTCACCTGGGTGGTACATTCGGTCTCATGGCTCCTCTTTACACTAAGGACGCAACCTGAGCCCCTGACCATGGCCCACGGGCCTTCTATCTGGCCCCTACCTGCCTCTCAGGCCTCCTCTCCTCCCTCCTGCTCCCCCTTGGCCCACTCCCACCACTCTGACCTCTCTGCAACTCCATGACCAAAACTGGTTCCCTCAAAGACCTGCTGAACCCTCAGCTAGAAACACGGGCCCCTGGGTCTTCACAGCCAACTCCTCCCTGCCATGCAGGTCTGGGTAGCACAGGCGCCACCACAGCAGAGAGGCCCCCACTGCCTCCTGGCCGGAGCGTCTCCCCCAGGCCACTCTTCTTGCCTTCTTCCCAGCACCACAGCCCTCTGCAAGCATCTTGCTCATGGACTTGTCACATGTTCCCTCCCAGTAAGAAGTGAGCCCTGACAGCCATCATGTTCAAGGCTACATCCCTGCATCTGGGATAGGACCTGGCACTAAGTGGTTCTGAACGGATGTTTGCTGAATGAATAAATGAAAGCAACCCCACAGGCAGGAGTAGGTTACCTAGATCTTTGCCAAATCCAGACTGTTTGAATCCTCCGAAGGGAGCGGCCACATCGGTCTTGTTGTACGTGTTGACAAACACAGTGCCTGCCTGGAGCTTGTCACTGACATACAGGGCCTTGTTGATGTCCCTGGTGAAGACACCAGAAGCCAGGCCAAATTCCGTGGCATTGGCCCGAGACAGCACAGTGTCCACGTCCCTGGAGGGAAAGTCCAGGAAGAACTCCCTGAGGGAGGTGCAGACGAGAGCCTGGCCTGCTCTACACCCCAGCTGCATAAGACCTTCCGAGGAGAAAATGTTCCGGGCTGCGGCACCGGGGCAGGATGGGGTTGGGCTGGGCTGCGAGTGAGGAGGAAGGGCAGGGGCCCATGCGCAGGCAGCCACCACAGGGGTTCCTGGATCATGGGGTGAGCCTTTTATTCCACAGACTGGGAGCAGGGGCCCAGAGAGGGACCACTGGGTCCTCACGTGCAGAAGGACCCACATGTGCCTTTGGCAGGTTGGGCATTCACCAGACATCAGTGATCTGGAGACTTACTACAACCATATTTATTGGCTAGGTGGCAGTGAAGTCTCTTACTCTAATGCCATTGACATATGACGATAATTTCTGGGTTTTTTTGATAGTTGGATAGTAAAATGTGAGGATGAGGCACGATTTTGCAGTTTGCTCCAAGGTGCTACGGAGACCAGGGGTAAGCCTGAGAAGTGACAGCATGGGCCTCCGTGGCCCCACTGTGAGTGGAGTACAGTTTCCCCTTCCAGCCCAGGCTGGCCTGGGTGACTTGCTTGATCACTAGGCTGTGGTGGAAGGGATGCTCTGGGATTCTAGAGAGCCAGATTAGAAAGAGCCTTTTGGCTTTCACCTGGCCTCTGAGGGGAAACCAGGTGCCTTGGCAACCCTGAGGCTGCCACGCGGAGGAAGCCTCCTGGGAGACCCCCGGCAGCGTGAGGATAGCCACTCTGTCGCCCCAGCTGAGGCCAGATACTGCATGGAGCAGAGATGGGTTCGCCTCATTGAACCTAGACCATGAGTAAAATAAATCTCTGATTATTCCAAGCCACTCAGTGTGGGGGGTTTAGTGCACAGTAACAGACCTTAGAACAGAGCCCAGTGGGCTGCGAGAAACATGCTGGAGCATGTGGCAAGGGACAAGGACAGGGAAGGGAACTGTCTTTGCTCAGAGGGGGACTCAAAGCCCCATGTCTCTTCTCAGGGGTGTGGAGACTCAGCAGGCGGCCCAGGCGGGATGTCGATGGCTTGCACCCTACCTGAGTTCTCCTCCTTACCGCCCACAGGCTACCTCCCAAAGCCCACACAAAGACCCCAGTAACACATGGGAGAGAGTCAGGGCCCTTGAGACATCAGCAGGATTCCCTACCCATCAGCAAACCGAGAGATGATCATGACAGGCCCGAAGGACTCCTCCTTGGCTATGAACATGTGGTCTTCCACATCTGTGAAAACAGTTGGCTCAAAGAAGAACCCTGCAAGAGAGATGGAGACCCACTGTACATGGGAGACACAGTGCCCGATGGTCCAGCCTCCCCGTCAGCAGGGCCTGGGCAGCCACCTGCGGATGACCTGACATAAGCGCCGGGTCATGGCACCCATGTGATGGGTGTCGCCATGTTGCAGGTGGCTCTCCCACCTGGCATGTTCTTTGATGTGGGTCTCACCATGCTTCTAAAGGAGTGCTGTTGAGGGAAATGGGGCTGCAGGTTGGCAGGTGACAGAGCTGAGACCTGATCCCAAGTCCAATCTTAGTGCCAGAACCCATGGCCAAAGCAAAGACTTGAGCTTTTCTGGTGACAGCTAATCTACAAGCTCCTAGATTGTTTGGCAGGTGAAACCTCCCAGGCAACTCTGCCACTGACCCTGGTGGCTACAACTCATGGAGTAGGAGCAGGTGAGAGGGGAGGAGCTCTGGACACTGGACCTCCTGGGACTCCCTCCCTCTGCCCTTCTGGGGTCCCTATCAAGGCCCAACTTCATGCTCTCCAGTCAAGAAGGGACCACCTAATCCCAACCCTGGATGCAACCCCTACAGGCCCTGGTTGCCAGGGCAGACGCACTTCTGACAACTGAAATGCTTTCTCTCTCTTTTCTCTAGAGACAGAGCCCTGAGACCTGCTGCACTGAGGTCAATCCTGCCTGACCTCACTGAAATTCAATCCTGCCTGACTTAGGAATAATCAAGAGACCGGGAATTTTCTCACTCTAGTTTTTAGAGAAATAGAAAATTTCAAAAAACGTTACAAAGTTATTTAACTAATAAAATATTCAGTATTTTTCATACATTTATAAACGACATTTTAACACCGATTACAATTGTGAAAATGTGACTCATGTACACACACAGTGGTTTATGTGGCCTGTGTTTACTCCACAGTCTTGCAGCACTTCTGCCGGGGCATGTGAGCCGTGCTGACCACCCCTCTGTCCCCTCCCCATCTACCTTGTACTCTCCCCTACCCCCTCTAGACCCTAAGAGCTGGTCTCCTGGTCCTTGGGCCACCAGAAAGCAGCCCCATCCCGTGCTCTGCCCCTCACTGGGCTATCGGAATTCTGCTCCTTCTCATACCCTCTCCAGGGCGGGGTGATGACTCCCCACTATTCCTGGTCCCCTGGTGCTGCTCTAACCCTTGCTGGCTCCCTAGCCCTGCTCCTGGCACAGGGCCTCCATCCCACCAACCCTGAACCCGGCCATCCTTGCCCTGCAAGGGCCCTGGTGATGCTCCTCCCACCCCACCTGCTTCATGGAACTCGCAGTCCAGCAGGAGTGGGAAGAGGGTAAGTGGACAGTGACAGCAGCAGTGCAGTGGTCATGAGAGCTCTGTTGAGGTGTGTGGTGCCCGGCACCCTGTGACATGGGCATGCCTGGGTTTGGATGTCCTGTGAGCTAAAGAAGCAGGAGCTCTCCAGGTGGGGACACTCGAAAGCCTCCGCTAAGTCGAGCAGCAGCAAATGCATAGAGCCCAGGAAAGCACGAGAAACCTCTGGAGAGAATGAAATGCGGCTGCAGTACAGGTCAAGGGCAAGTCAGGCACAGATCATGAAGGACTCTGGCTGTAAGGTCAAGGAGTCTGAACTTGCACTGTAGGAGGTTGGGTCACTGCTACGAGGTCTTAACGGAGGAGAGGTCACCAGACCCTGGCAACTGTGTGAGTAAAAGATCAGCAGGCTCACAAGGCCACTTGGGAGGCTGCTGTGACACCGAGCAAGGCAAGATGCAGGGAGCCCGCACAAGGGTCAGGAGGCAGAGGAGGTCCAGAGTGGGACAATTCTCAGATTTTACAGAATCAGGCAAATAATTTAAATGGAGGTCACAGAAAGAGAAGAGTCAGGGATTCCTTCTTCCCTTTCCTCCTTCATGCTATCAGATTAATTGAGCACCTACTCTGTGCAAGGCCTGGTCTAGGCACAAAGGAGCTAGGGGTGAGGAAGACAGTCATGGCACCTGTCCCTCGGCAGTAGCATCAACAGTCCATCCCTGTGGCTGCTGCACTTCTGGCCTGATGACTTGATCAGACAGAGGGTCCTGGAGCAGCAGGTGTGTGTGTCTGGGCTCAACTCTGGCTGGGACATTGCAATGACCATTGAGTTTGAAGGGCCTGGGGAACATCCAGGTGGAAGTGTCCAGTGCTGCTAGCTATGCGGTGAGGAGCTCTGGGTGGGGTGGAGCCTGGAGGCCTGTGTCTGGTAGGGTCTGAGCAGGGGAGAGATCCTGCAGGCAAACTGTCCCCCATGAGATGTGCTCCAAGCTAAGGATAGGCAGGGATGCACCTGCATTGAGGGGACAGGTGGAGCAACAGCTGAGAGGTTAACAGCCAGTGAAGTAGAAGGAAAATCATAAAATCTAGTCTCTTGAAATCTGTCGGGGAGAGACTCTCAAGTCTGTGGTGACAGTAAGGGCAAGTCAGAGTCCAGTTCAATACTGACTAAACCAGCACTGAATAATGCTCGTCCCATTCCCAGGTCTGGCTGGTGCCCAAGTAGCCAAGGCCCAGTCCATCCCACGTCCCAGATGGGGCTGCAGCCTGACTGTGCAGGTACCTGGCCTTCAGCTGTCTCCAGTTCAGCTGGACAGGGAACCAGAGACCACGGGGCCTGCTGCCTCAATTGACCCAAGCGGGCCTGGCACACTGTGACTCACCTGGCCGAGGGATTTGATTCCCACCGCAGACCAGTGTGGCCCCTTCCTTCACGCCGCGCTGGCAGTACTCCATCAGCTTCATCAGGTGGGCATGGTGATTCTGTGGCCCGTGGTCAGTGTCCCTGTCCAGCGGGTTGCCCACCTTCATCTTCCGCACCTCCTGTACCTGCAGAAAGTCCTCCAAGTCAGGCGTGGCTTGTTCTGCCGCAGTTTCTGACAATGATCCTCACCTGACTCAGCTCTCATAGCTGACCCCTGAGGAAAGTTCACACTCTATTCTAGCCTCAGGGCTTTCCGAATTCTGACTCTAAATCCACCTTCCAGTCTGAAATCCCAGATGGCTCCTATGCGCAGAGGGACAGAAGTCTCCAAGGAGACAGGAGCCCAGCAATAGATGGGCTGGGAATGGAGGTACACAGAAGTGTGGGTGAGGAGGAGAGAGGCTGGCGTATTTGACTCGTTGAGGAGATGGGGCTCAGTACAACATGTATCTGATTCTGGTCCTGCACCAGCCTCATGGATCAAGAAGCTGAAAGAACTGTTTGTCTGGGGGACTCCAGGATGTGGGGTGGGTGGGATACACCAGCCCTGCTGCAATAGTCCCGGTGCTAAAGTGGGAAAGAAATTAAGTGGAGGGGAGGGGCCCAAGGCTCTAGTCTGCTGACTCTTCTCCTCCAAGGCCAGGGCATCTCACATCTTGCAAACTCTGCACCCCCGGTCAGCCCTAATCAGACACAGGTGTGACTCGAGCACCCGGGACACCCCTCTGCCCTTCCCACCAGGGCCCACTGAGTGCCTCTGACTGTCCTGTCTCCATCCTGTAGCCAAGCCCAGTTGCTTTTGTTCCTCATTCTCTGCTCCTGTCCTGGAGACCCAAACCGCGCCCCAATCTCTCTTGGATACAAAGGACAAGCAGCCTACTGAGCCTCCTGAACACTGGCCTCACTTCCTTTATTTGGGATTGTGACTGTCCTGAGAATTATCCCTGGGACAATGGCCCTTGCAGTCACCCGACTGTGGAAGTCTCATGACTCCCTTAAGACCCCCAGACAGGACCTTGTGTGCACAGCTCTATGTCCCCGCAGCCACACTCCACCCATGACTGCCACTTTATCTCCAGTAGTCCCTGGGTCTGTATGCTGGTCCTGCTATTCCTGTGCCGGGCCCATCACGGCAATGGGCCTCGCTTGGCCAGGCAGGCCAGCTCCCTAACTACGGAAGATGAGCTTGTGCCTCCCATCACGTGGTAGAGTCCGTTTCCTCACCCCTTAAATCTGGGCCAGCCTGTGACTTGCTTCGGCAGCACAATGCATGGAAGCAATGTTTCGTGCATTTCAAGAAGCCTCTCAGCTTGTGCTGTCACTCTCAGGAGTCCTGCCACTGTCCACATGAACATGCCCCAGCACATGCTGCAGAGTACAGGCCCCTAGGGCAAGGACAGCTGTCCCACGAAGCTGCCTGCTGCCCTGCTGCCCCCGAGCCTCACTGCAGATGCTTGGGCAAGCTCTGACAAACCCACGTGAGCCCCAGCGAACCCCAGCCTAGACTGCCACTGCTGCCCACAGAATCATGAGCTGAGGGCAGGGCTGTCATTTCCAACCACTCTGTGTTGAGGCTTGTTATATGGCAAAAGCTTTTCCAGCCCCTCCCAGAAAGTCCTTCCTTTTCCCACTCCTTCCGGACTCTGAGCCACCACCCTGGGTCCAGCGCCAGCTCTCCAGGGACCCCTCCCTCACCCCTCCACTCATGGGCCCTCTTTTTCCCTGGCTTCTCAGGCACCATCTGTCTGAAACCATGTGTGGAGGTTGCTGGTTGTCTCTCCCGCATCCCTGCTGCTACCTGCTGGGATCAGATGCTGCTCTCCACAACCTGGGGCGGGGGCGGGGGCCCTTCGCGGAAGCTAAACCAACCTCAGCTTGCTCCACCCGGTATCATGGCCTGGATGAAGGATGGCTGGGGCCTGGTTCATGACAACCCCACAGTGTTTTCTAACAGAGGTGGTGAGGAAGGAGTCATGTCCTGCTTTGGCTCCAAGTGGTGAGAAGGTAATGCTGGTGCCGCCAGCCCCATACTCCCCACCATATCCGAGCTCCTTGGAGAGAATGACGCCAACCCGCCAAGGAACCGAGAAGCCAGGCATCACAAACCTCCCAAGGGGACTCAGGACCACTGAGGCCAGCATCAAGCCTGCTCTTCCAGGTGAGGCTGAGTGAGTGGATAAATCTGGTGGAAGACACTATCCTGTGCCCACCAGATCCCCAAGGCCATGCAAGGTGGCTGCGGAACCTGATGGGAGCTGCTGGCCCCTACTGGCGGCCCACAGCCAAGCCTACCTGCCACAGGGCCCCGCAGCCTGGCCACTTGGCCCCAGGGGCATGCCTATGTAGGGGGATTTGTGCTCCAGGGCCCCTGTCAACGGTCAGACCCAGGCTGACCAGAGACCAGGCCCTTGCTCCATTCTGTCTGGTCCTCCCCTGGTCCCTTCTCCTTCCAGGCCTCACCTAAGAGTCCACTCTGAGTAAACCACATGCACCGAATTCTTGCCCCAGGCTCCACTTCTAGGGAGCCAAGCCAAGACGGGCCCTTTTTGGTGATGTCAATTTGAGCTACAGGTCTGCTATTTCTTGGCGAAATAATAAAATCCAGTGAAGACTCAGCACAGCTCCCGCTGTCAGTTCCCTGACCCCTGTGGGCAGTGTCCTCTAGGAGGAGCCCAGCCTCACTTGACGCCTGCCCTGTCTCCCCTCCTCCAACCCCCTCCAGCCAGGCTGCTGTCCCGGTGAACCAGCAACCCACAGACCCTGGGGCAGGACTTACCACCCTCTGCACGAACTCATCATGAATGGAGTCCTCCACAAACAGCCGGCCTGCTGCAATGCAGTTCTCTCCTTTGTTGAAGAAAACAGAGCTCATCCCCTTCAGAGAATGGACAAGAACACCAGGTCACTGCTCCTCCTGAGACACCAGCCCCCTGCTCTGCCAGGGCGCAGCTGCCCTTTCTCACTGGGAAGGGAGGCACCTGTGTGTCCTAACCTCCTCCTGTGGGCCGCACTCAATCCTCAGTCACCTCAAGAGGAGAGGTGAGAGGTAATGGTGTGGGAAGTGAAGACGCTGAGGCCCATGCAGCGACAGAGAGACACCA